AAATAAATACTTATATATATATATATATATATAAAACTATAATTATCATATTAAACAATAAATCTTGCCTTTATTTAAAACATTCAAATAATTCCATCATTATATTTCATTATTTTCTTTATCTGGTCTAAGCAGTGCCAAGCGTTTTTACATTAAAAATTTTTTTTTATTTATTAAAATTTTATCATTTATTTTGTACTGTTACTCTTTAATTTTTTGTGATAAAAACATAATTTATAGTTTTCTCAAAAAACAATTCGAAAGAATCATTTAATTTTTAGTGCGTTACATAAGGCTTCCCCCTTAATTGCGGCTTCAAAATGATCGAAATCGCTTCTTTCATAATAGCTGGCGTTTTTAACAAAAGCTACAATTCCATTTTGCAAATCATGCACAACTTGAATATTGTTGGTCAGCAAAGCCAAATATTTGCTAATCAGTACGATTCACAACGAATACGGAGATAGAAGTGCCGCAGCATAAAAGAGGTACGATAAACTCGATAAGAAAAGAATGTGGACATACAAGAATTTTTTGAGGAAACAAGAAGATTTATTTTAAGAGCTTAGCGTAGCTGTAAGTAAACGAAAATTGTTGATTATCTGTACTCATAACTCTAAACGCATTTTTCTCGAAACCAATTTTTAAAACTGGAATGCAAAATAATTCAAAAACTATTCATCCGATTGAGTTCTCCTTATGTACATATTTAGATGAATACTTTCCTCATAAATTGAATCTCTATTTTCAATTGTATCGTTCATATAAATAATTCTTATTGCAGTTAAAACATAAAAATCGATATTTTCGTCTTCTATGTGTCGCCATTTTTATAATTTTACATTATTCTCTTTACAAATAGGTTCAACTAATAATGTAAACCTCACAGAAGAGAAATCCATTTAGTTTTTTTGTGTAAGATACAAGCAGCGCTACATTGCACGCCGGCTTCTTATGAGGGGAGTTTAAAATTGGCGTACAAGATCACTCAAAAATTAATCCGATTCAGTTCTTTCTGTGCACACATTTCAAATACTTTCCTCATAAATTGCACCTTTTGCAAACCTATTGTTCATATATATATAATCTGTAATGTATAGTCAACATGCAAATATGGGAAAAACTACTTTGTGGCTAGATGGAAAAAATTAAGTGGAGACTAAATGAAAAAAACTATGTAGGGCCTACATGGGAAAAACTAGATCGAGACTAGATTGAAAAAACTATGTGCGAATCAAAAATGGG